AAAACAGATTTTCAAAATTAATCGTCCAAACTTTCCCTCGCGTTTCTTGAAAATCTAAAAACCAGTAAAGAACTTGGACGGTTGAACACGAGCGATTCGGTGAACAGTACTTTTGCCCACAGAGGATTACGAATTCACGTTTCCAGTCACGAAGTCGCAAGTAATTTCACGCCATTTCATATGCAACGACCCATGCCGTGTCCGTGGAAGATATAAATAAATAAATCACAGGAACGAATGTGATGTGAATTTGCATAAAAATCCGCAGCCCCGCGATAAGGAAGAAAGGGACTGGAACGGAGGGTCAAACATGAGGAAAAAGAACTTGAGGGTGGTGCACAAGCAGGTGTACGATCGCGTGCCGGTCCAGCAGGTACGGCCACGCGTCTCCATGTTATTTATTCCCGAAACGCGACGAACGCCGATCGATTTATTTGCGTGTTCTCCGCGCCAGGCCGATTCCCGATCGCCACTGGCCGAAAACTGGGTCAGAACGCTTAAAAATCTGGAGCGGTCAGATAATGATATTCTCGTTGCGCCGGCGAGAGGGGCCGAGACAATCGACAGTAACCAACAAAATGTTACGATTATGGTCCATTTACCGAGCAATCCAAAAGTCATGCCCCTATCTTCAGACCCGAATAGACGCGATTGCGATCAATTCACGTTCGACTCCGGTGCTTTCTCGCTGAATCCACTGCGTGGTGACAATTTCCCAGGAAATGGAAATTCACGCTGTTTTCACATTAGTCCTTGTCTAGTGAAGTCTAGTTGTCGACGAGGAGTGGATTGTTATCGACGTCTTACGAAATTGTCTTTCGAAAATGCCGTAGAAATTTTGTACACTTTGGTGATATATTAGAAGTACGTGATTAGTTTCTGTTCGGTAATTATCTGAGGAAAGATACGGAGGTTTCCTGATAAATTTGAATATACGTTTGTACGTTCTCCAGTTTACCAAAATAACTGTTTTATCAATAATTTATTGAATATCTCATTGTCGGTAGTAGAAGAACAAAAAAAGAATCTCAGAGTATATAATAAATGTTAAGGATTGAGTCAATTCGGTTAAATTATAATTCAATGATATAATAAAATGTCAGAAGCATTTAAACTGTTTCGATGTTTAATGATACTTGCCAAGAGCCAATAAGTCAATTAAAAATTAAACCGAAATAAATTAAATTAAATTTGAGACGTCATCATACGTCATTAATTATTAGAAATTGAATTAAATTAAATTAGATTAAAAATTTCGAAAGTGAATGATTTCGAATCCCAAATTTTTAGTTGAACATTGAGATTGATCTTTATAATACATTATGTACATTTCTGTCTAAATATTTTTCTAGTCTCCATATATAAATATAAATTGTAGTATACATTTTTAAGTAATTAACAATAATAGTAATATCATTGTAAGATTGAATTACAATACAAATATATATCTTTATATTATATCTTTAGATTTACTTCAGGCTTGATCAACATAATTATGATAGTAAACACTGGCTATAGATCTAATAAAATTTCGAGACATTTTATGTAGTACTCACGAAATATATTTCTAGAAAATTTCTACAAGTGTCTGAATAGTTTCACAGTAAGTAACTATCTGTAAATGATACTTGAAATTCTCACACCTCACGATCGAGATTGATCATGAGTGTACAACTAGTTCGAATGTCGTTTAGTCTATTTAAACTCACAATCACAGGACGGGCTATCTCATGCCATTAATTACAGATAATCGTTTGAATTGCTATTTACTGATACAGATACTTCGTTGATACAAAGTGTCGTTAATTGTAGAGAGTCGCATGAATTTGCTGTTCATCAACATGCAGTGTACTGGTACTGCAGAGGAAGTGTCACTCAGAACCGTGTTGGAGGAATTTCAACCACGATGAGAATTCACTTTTCACACGATATAATAATCGATGTCACTCATATGGAGATACAAAACAAAAAAGGAAATCGAGCAATTGCATATTTTGTCTGTTAATTATAAAATAGTTTTATAGAAATGAAAGAAAGTAGAAGAAAGATCAAGCGATGACAACAATTTACGAATTATTTATTCTTTTACTATACTTACATTATTCGTACTGTGCTATAGTGCAGAAATAAAAGACATGCGAATGATATAAAATTTAATATAAAACTAAAAGATTGAAGGATTGAACAGTAAATTATAGAGTCTCGTTTATAAATTTCACGAAGATTTATATTTTAAAGGTTTAAAAACATTTTCCAAGTTATATATTATACTACACTTTTCACATCATTCTACACTACATAAAATATGTAGGTTAAATATGTATGTGAACGACGTAGAAGAATTAAAAAATTTAAAGATTACGGGATAACTTAAGGACGCCATTTATGAATCTTTTCACGAATATTCATGTAAATACTATAACACAGGAATAGACGATCGAAAAATCATGCAATGAAACACGTACTTTCAAATTTTCATAAAAATTCCGCGATAACTCTGAAGACATTGTTCCAGCAAGATTGCCAGTCCTTCAGCCATCAGTCTTAAGAATCAAAAACCGAGATTCAATTTATCTCGATTTCATTTATTACTTCAATATCACGCATTGGAAGTTCATTTTCTCTGAGACATCACCTGGCAAGCTCAACGATTTCGCAATTGGCAAATTAGGCGCTAAGACCGATCGCTTGTTGCAGCAAACGGATGTTCGATCAAGTTTGGACCATTTCTCGAGTACACCGGTGAAATCATTACCTGGTAAAAGGGAGGACACACCGCCGGCATCGTTGACGTCCCTGGCGCCGCTAACCAGTTTGGCGAACTTGCCGAGCAGCACCCTCTCATCTACACCCCTGTCTCTCGCCCCCGCATCGAAACTGCTCACGCCAGCGGACAACAAGGGTCTCATGAGGTCAGTAGAAAGTTATTATTTTTTGACACGCCGCGAAATCCGTGATCGATTCACTACAATTTCAGATTGTTCATGTTTACGCTGTTATCACGGTAATTGTAATTGAATATACATAATCTTCCGATTTCCGAAAAGGGAGAAGCGTGATTTATTAAATTAATGACTACACAAGTTGGTATTAATATCGTTCCGAGGATAGACGGATTGAGTGAATTCTATAAGATGTTCGCTTATATTGCGGAGATAGTTTTATTTTGGAAATGCCAGACACTATTTAATATTAAAGGAAATTTTTATATAGCATTAAAGTAATGCTTCGATGATTTATACAAATTAAGAAACTGAAAGTTACGTTTCTTTTTTTTAATCAGTTGTACTATACTTGAATTTTGGATTTATTTTCTTTTATTTGTATTAATATATTAATATATCATTAATATTCGATAATACTCAACTGTAGTGAAAGTTACGAAATCTTCATTTACATTGC